ATATTTTGAAATGTGTGATTGACAAGAAACACTGCAAGAAAAACTTCAAGGAGACTTGCAGTCTGTTGTTGATGTCCTTTGAAGTGGAAACTGGACTTCTGCAAAATTTCTTACCCATTGCCTCTTGTCACCAGCTATTACTGAGGAGAATGTGTTTCCCTCTTCTTTATTCCCTCACATCAGATATTTACACACTGATTAGATTCCCACTGAGCCTTCCCCAAAAGCTCATCTTCTGCAAAAGATGATCTTCCTAGAAAGTGGAAGATGACTGAGAAAAGTAACAGTTCTGCACAACACAAGAATCCAGGAAGATGGCATGGTAGTCCACTGTGGTTTAAATTCCATGCAATGCTAGGTTGGTACCCAATCTTAGTATTGTTTGTGGGTTAGTAATATTGGACCAGGGACTTTTCTGAGTAATGTGTAACTACCTCTTGAAGCTCCTGATGTCATTCTGAGCAGTTGTATAATAGTATCAAGTTGCTGCAGCAGTAACATGCCTGAAGCCAATGTGATGGACACTGAAAAATTTTGTATGAATGTAGCCCCTGCTCACAGAGTAGTCTAGTATTTCTCATGCAGGAATGAGTAGCTGTTTCTACTGGCCCATTTCTTTCTGTGACCAGAACTAAAAGCCAAAACTCCTGCTGAGTAAGGTCTCATGTCTAACACAAACCACTCCATTAAAGATCAAAAACCCTAAAAAAATGTTATACAAAGTCATTACTTGTAGAACAAGAGGAAACACTAGACTTTTTTAAGAAGAGCAAATGTTTGAGGACTCCTTGAGGCCACAGGAAAACACAATATTGACTAACAAGTGTGAGTGGTGAATGGCAGTGAGTATCTTGGCAAAAGGAAAAACACAAGGACATGCTCACACAAAATTTAACTACATTCACTGATGATGTTATTTCAGCCCTTTAAATGAGTATTGTATAAGTCTCAGGTTGATTGAAGAATCAGAAATAGGTTCACTGTGTGCTCTTTGAATTTGGCCAGGTTGTGATGTAACCAGGTTATGATGTCTTTTGCCATGACAATTACTTTGGCCTTCAGAACAACAGTCTAATTAAGGATGGACAATATATGATGAATCATTAAATATCTTTTAAGATTTTTTGTAGTGCTACTAAAAATTCTAGGAAGTTTCTTTTGTGTATATAAAGCATGGTAGTAAAACATGCAAAATTTAAAAATATTTGTTTGCTTGATCTCAAAACTGTTCCCCTCTTTTTAGTGCTGTGCAAAGGAAGCAAGATATACAAGTCTAAAGATCATTCTTTGTACCCATTGCTCACAAAGGCTACTCTCCTGCATAAGCCAGTCACAATGAGAGGAAATAATGGAGATGAGAGGGAAAGGTGTCACAACAAGTGAGGAAAGAATGGGAACTGATGAGTCTACTCTTACAGACACAACCAATACTCTTGATAAATATTAGACTACTAATCCATTTGTTTATTCAGATAAGAAATATTTATGCATGTTGCTACTAGAGTTGTGTGAGAGAAATAATATAATTATGAATCAAATTTTTATTTGTCATCACACTGATTGCTCTCCAAGACTTCGTTATTTGAAACCTTTTAGCAAATTTGCAATTTTTTGTTAAATAAAGCCAAAAAATAGAACCTGGCCATCCTGATACAGGGTCCTTTAATGCTACAAAAACTGAATTTTCAGGGCTTCTCTCTCCTTCTGATTGATCTCCCCACACTACATTTCTGTAAACACATCACACTAGTGTACTGCTTTCTGCAAATCTTTTTATTCTTTAGGATATCTGGATAGAAGATATTTCAGACTTCTGCCACCAATTTCCATTGCTGACCATCTTTTAAACAAGTAAGAACCTAAACTGCTCTTTGATGTGGGAGTAAGATGATAACCCAGTATGACCATACAGCAGTAATATAGTGCATTACTATATTGTATATACAGTATAATATATCAAAGACACATAAAGTGACATATTCAGTATTTTAATAATTATACATGGACTCTGATGACACCAGTAACTCTGTCTACAGCGCATCTATCAGAAAAAAGCTGTTACCACCTTATTTGAAAAAAATGTATTGATCCCCCTTTTTACTTGAAATAAATAAACCCCTGACATCATCTAATTAAGTAATGATGTAGATTTGCATTTCTAAGACAATTTGATGTATATGTGAATAAGCATTTTAAGGTTGACATAACTTTGAACTCAAAAACTACAGTTTGGTTATTTTTATGTTTATTATAACAGTAGGAACACTTACTCTATTTCTATAATAATTATTATATATACTTTCATGATGTAGTTTTTTGTGCAGATTATTCCTGTGAGGTAAAAGAAATACTGTGTTTCAGACGTATTCCTTTCACTAAGGGTACAATTTTCCTAGTTCCCTCTTTAGTGAATGGAGGGAGATGGGTTTGGTATTTCTTAGTAGTTCTAATATTAAACTTTGATCTCGGCTAATATAACAAACCTCACTTAAAACATTCTGAAAATGCAAATGCATGCTGTTTTCCTTGCTTTCTTGCTTTTCTACTAATTTTCTATTGCTATTTACCTCTCACTAGCCCTAACCTGAGCCTTCTATATATGTTTCTTCAATATCACCATGAACACTGTTAATTCTCCTCATTTCCTTCTTTCAATGTGTATGTATCCTGAGGTTTGTAAGTTACATGCTATATGATTGTCCTCTCAATTCTTTATTAATCTAAGACCAATTTTCAAAAGAGTTGAACACTAAAAAATGCTCCAGATGTAGGTGGATTAAATTTTGAATATAGCAAGTAATGTATGAATGGCAACTTAAAATAAAAGTTCATGCTCTCAAAATGTGGCATCCAAATTTAACAGATGCTTTTGAGTGTTTCTGAGTGTCTTTTTTTCCTCTAATATGTTGCAGTTCCACTCTTGAGAATGGACACAATATTGCTTTCAGGTCTGAATAATATGTTGGAAAAAAAAAAATATTAGCTAATTACGCACTCAATAATATGCTTTAATCTTCAAAAGACAGCCCATGAGAAAAGCAATAACTTCATATAATGTGAAAGATTTGAAGGATCTGCTGAAAGTAGAACAGAGCAACATGACATCTATAATTGAATAAAAAGGAGCATTTAATAGCCATTAGATGAGCACTGTCCTGTTTGTCATTAAACAGAGCAGAGATCTTGTTACAAACGGTATGTTGTTGTGTAATTAAATGTATTGGAAATGCAAAAGCACATGGGAGTTGAATTAAGCCTGCCAACAATGTTGTTAATGCTTGGACGGGAGTGGCCAGCAGGAGTATTGTTGTGAGCATCTCACTGGTAGAAAGGTAAAGACAGATGCTGGGACTCCACAGTCTGCTGCTCCCCTTGCTTGGCTCAAGGCAGCCGGGTGCATGGTGAGATTACAAAACCATCAGTGCTCTCCTTTTTATAGGGGCTGGAGTGTGACAGCAGCTCAATTTTATGTGTGAGTAGGAAAATGTCCATGATGAAAGTATCAACCTACTAATTCCTACTGCAAAATGGAAAATCAATTTATCCACCATTTCCAAAGCAATTTATCCATCATTAAATATAATACAGTATGTTAACTCTGAAATTTTGCACAAAAAACGAAGTTCCAAGAGTGAAGTTTCTAAAACACAAGAATGTTTATAACTGTTCCTAAAGAACATGTCTTTTTGCAGATTCAGTACTCCACAGAACAAGTCTAAAATATGCTAAAAGAGGATACAACTATCTTTTCACACTGCCCTATATATTTAATTGCTAACTGTAATAGTAATGATAATTATAAAATTCTTACTAAGGATGTTAATATGCTAGTAAATGTGCTTCATTAACATTTTCATCACACAGCTTTGAATTCTGCATTACTACACCGGCTTTTTCTGACCAGGTTCTCAATCCTTAGTGAGAAGCAGAAATAAACTCAGCTTTTGTGTCTTTGTGTTCAGCTTAAATGGAATTTGGTGCTATGTTTAAAACTTAACAACCAACATAAAACATAACTTTGGGGCCTGTGTGTCATTACTCATTTTGTTCAAGAGCTAGTCTTCTGTTAGTTTTATTACTATTATTGGTATCCTTCAGTTAGCCTTTAGAAATTCACTGTAGTTTACTAAGATCAATAATGAGAAACACTTAATCTTTTTACTTCAGATATTTTAACTGTGATATTGAATATCAAGATGCCTAAATAAACCAAGAATTATTGAGCCCCAGCTTCAATACTGCAAATTTGGCACACACTTATTTGTAAAAATATTAAAATGCTTGAGTCACAATATCTTCCTGAAATTTTAGGAACATACTAGATTATAAATTTATAACAGTGAATTAATTCTTGTGATACCACAATCATAAGTATTTGTTATCTCCTCTAATGAATTATCAAATTCATTAAGTCAGGGAAAGTAAAAACAGAACATGGAGAAACCAGTCAGTCAGTTACTTAATTATATTGAAATTCTAAATGACCAAAGGTTTATTTAATGTATTTGGCAAATTCTGTCTGGCCCCTCCCCACCCCCCCACGACCCCCCAGTACCATATAGTATCTTTTGTACATATATGTTGTACACATAAGCACTGACACTTGCATAATGGGTCAGTACAACTGGTTTCTGCTAATATTTTAGATAATGACTCTAAATGCATATCTTTATATAGCTTAGATGTTTCAAAGTATAGTTCACCCCTGCCAAAAAAGGAAAACTGAAAAGTTTTAATATTTTTTCAGTTAAAATTACACCAGAAACATACTGCACTAAACACAGTACAATACATCTGTTCTGCCAGTCATGAAAACACTTTAGATGGTTGAAATTGTTAAATCTCCTTCAACTGAAGAGAAACCTCAAGTGTCAAGGCTCAGTTTGTTGTCAGCAAGCCTCATACTCAGCTGCTACCTTACCATTTTTTATTAGTGTTTAGGCAGAAGTCACACATCAAGCTGTTAGCACACTGACCAGTTGCTCACCAAGTTTACTCACCCTTTGACCTTCTTTGCCAGGTGGACCTTGGGGACCCTCCAGCAAACCCTTAAAATACAAACATTAAATAATTATAACATTCAGTGCTATTCTCATTCTCTATTTTTCTATAGAATGTAAGACAAGACCAAAGATCCAGATAGCAAGACAAGTATTTATTTCTAATAATAAGAATTGTCTATTCCTAACAACTCCTTCAATGTTATATTAAGGTGAAAAAAAAAGTCCAAACAATAATTATTAATCGCATTCCATCATATAAAGGCTGTATCCTTTGGAAAAGAGGAAGTAAGTCAGCACTAATTAAGCACAGCTATATTTAAGTACAATATTAATTGAAAAGTGATTTATCTTGTTAAGTTAGGATGCCATAAAAAATTGACAAAAAAAGTTATTTTAAATGATAGACAACTTACTCTACAACTCAAATTCAAATATAGGCACTGAAGGGGGAGGGGAAGGCAAGGAAAGGGAACTAAATATAGCAGAAGGCCTTATGCTCTCTGGATCCTAAGAACCAGCCCTGTGCTTCTTCCTCTGCAGTTCTGGCTTGGCTTTTCAAAACACTTTAGTGTCTCTTTTCTCTCTCCCTGTCTCCCCTGAACAGGCACCAGAGCTTTGAATGTTTTGAATATACCCTTGACCTGTGAGCCTTCTGTCTGAATTCAGTGCAAGGATCTGCCTTTTTCAGTCAGAGACCGAATCACAGACCACTTCTGATGCTTTGGGGCTTTAATTTTATCTCTGATTATTGTACAATATAATCATAAAGCCTTCAAATAACATCTCAGAACAACTTAAACAGTCATTCCCCTCACTCCCCGCTTTTTCCATGAGTCACCTTGGAACACAATTTAAAAAATTACTTTGAGGAAGCAATGCAATTTCCATTATAGCAACAAGAAATGTGAAATAATTTTCAATGTAATGAGCAAAGAATATGTAACAGTTCTGCATTGTATAATTAAAAAAAAAGCCTTGCATGTTATATTGCATACTTTTAGAGAGAGATGTCACACAGAGAACTTACATTTTGTTTATTTAAGAATTTGAAATATTAAAATTTTAAAATCTTTAAAATTACTCAGCTTTATGTATTGCTTCAGCATGAATTGTATCTTTAGTCAAATTCAAACACTTTACTTAGAATCAATTACACATATTTATTGAACCAATAAGGACCAACTGAGGCATCCTGAAAATCATGATTTTTTTAAAGTATGCAGATTTCTAGAAATGAATTTAAGAAGTTCATTTAGGATCTCTAATTCCCAATATAAACTTGAGAAAGTAAGTAGGCATTCCAAAGCTACTAGCTCATTATATCTTCAAGTAAAGTTTTAAGTTGATTAGAATGTAGTCTGACTTCAATTTTAAAAAGAATAGATCATTTCAAGAGCTTTTTCACTGCTACCATTTCTCCACTTTCAAATACTGAAGCTAAAAATATATCTCAGGCAGTATTTCATTATAGGATATTTCTCCTATCATTTCAGTTTATAATGTAAACAGGATAAGGTGTAGGATCTTTTGCAAAACTGATACACAACCTTTCCGTATTTCACCATAAGTTTATGGAACTAAAATATGCATGAGAATATGTGTCCAAAAAATAATATAATGGTAAGTTAATTACAGGGCAAGGTACGTAGCTTATGCATATACAAACCCATAAAGTAGCACATCAATGTGATCTCTGTAAAGCTTCTTTACTTTCTCATCTAGGTAGTGTGGAACTTGTTGTGTTCTGTCTAATTGTTCACAATATTCTAATTCTGTGAAGAAATTCTGAGAATTCAGGAAGAGATGGAATTTTGTTTTGTTAATTTTAGTGACAACTTTATGCAAGGGAATGAGATGAAAACCTGTAATGTCCGTTTTATGGAGAGGAAATACTTAGCCTCACATATCTGTATAATAAGGCTCCAAGGGGACAAGAATTACACAAGAATGCAACTGCACAATAGTGATAATTAATAGCCAACATTTTTTATCCAAGGAGTACTTTTATTCTTTTTCTTCTCTTTACAATATTATTGTCAAGAAAAAGGAACCAGATAAGGAGATTTATCTTCAAGGAAAGGGAGGAGAGCTGTGTACAATTGGTAACTAGGCAGGGAGGACTCCCCTGTACAAGGAGCCACATCCTGATATTGAAACTGAGGTAAAAGTTCACACCAACCTCAGTGGGATCTTCCGTTTAAAAATTGATAGGACAACAGAGGCCATGTTAACTAACACAGCTCTAAAACTGTAGTAACTTGGCCAAAGTAATGACGTAGCAATGCTATCTTTGCTCAACATTCACTGAAAGAGATCATGAAAAAATAACTGCAGAAGAAACCTGTGGGAGAAATAAAAAAAAGAAACATTCTACAGTGTATTCTGTCTAAACGGAGGAATAAAACATCTACCATTGAACTCCTATAGAACTTGGCAATGAATAGAAATACATGTTTGTAATATCTATTTAGGTCGCATTCCTATTTTATTTCTGGAGATCTTCCTTTGGAGATCAAAGATCAGATTTGGCTCCCTCCAGCCATGGATAGCATAGTAGGTTGGAGGAGCCCACCACCACAGATAAAGGGATGGAATATAGACTGAATATGCATACCTCTATCTATCTATCTATCTATCTATCTATCTATCTATCTATCTATCTATCTATCTATATCTATCCATCCATCCATCCATCCATCCACCCATCCATCCATCTCTCTGTCTACCAGTGGTATATGGGATATGCTGTGGTTTGTGTTCAAAACATTTACGTCAGAAGACAATCTATTCTACAAGTACAAACTCCCAGGTAAACAACAGCCAAAGCCATTAAGATCATAGAAACACATAATGGTTTCTCAGAGTCGTAACCAATCTGGACTTGAATGTTTTCAGGTATGGAGCATCACCAACTCTATGGGCAATCTGTTCCAGTGTTTCATCACCCTCATTGTAAAAAACTTGTTCTTTTATCTAATCTAAATTGACCCTCCTTCAGTTTAATACCTCCTTCAGTTTTATCCCTTGTCCTCTCAACAGGCTTAGCTAAATTCTGTCCTCACTTTTCTTATGGGTGCCCTTCAAGTATTGCAAGGCAATTGAAATCATTCACTATGTGTCACTGTCACTCTGGTATATTTGAACTGGCAAAAGCATGGCTCTGGTAATGAGCAGAACAATGTCTAGGAACAGCACAAGGCACTGTGAGGTATAAAAACAGCCTATTTGTGTGACATCAGGCTGGCAGGAAAATATGATGCATTCTTCGAGGTGACCTAACACACATGGGCTTTTCCTGACTTTGCCAGGCCACCTTTGAGGCTGAAAAGTGGCAGATCTCTACCTACTTCTTGGAACAGTGAATTAAAACAACATACACAGTCTATAAAGCTTGTTCCTGTCATGGACCAAGCAAGCCCCTTGGAGCAATGTACCTGAAGGAGCTTGAGAAACATGAAGTGGAAATGTCTCAAACATTACCACGTAGCTTGGGGAAAAGCCAGTAAAATGGAGACATTCTTAAGTGCAACTGCAACTTAGAGAATCTACATCTCATCTACAATGAGTGAGGGTGGCTATGAAGTGAGATGATACATGGTGCACTGGTAGGCACAAGAGGGTTGTACAAAATCTTGTAAATGAAGAGCAGAAACTTGTGAATCCCTTTATAAGAGGTAAATCATAAAGGGAAGGATTGACAAGGGAAAATATTCTGGTTTGAACCTAGAACAGAAAAAGCAACCACACTGTGAAAAACATGCAGACAAATATTTAAATGAAATATCATCAAAACTTAATCTAAGTTGATAGAAACTAGGAAAAAACAACAAGTTTTAAAAATGCTGCAATAGAATGAGTTTTTAAAAGAATTTGTATTGAATAACATTTTAGTACTTTAAGAGCCAGTATTTTTTGAAGGTATCAGGAGATAAAAACTAGTAAGACAGTAGAAGAAAAATATATTAGGAAGTTACAGAAAAATCAGTAATCAGTTCTGCCAGTTAAGCTGTTTTGTTTCAAAAGCTGTTAATTTGAAGTGTATGAGTGTGGTACTATCAGAAGCCACTTACTGTAGAAGGGCTGTCATGTGACTCTGCAGGTACAAAAGCATTTTTAAATACCAGATACATCACAACAAGCATCTGCAGAGACATGGTGGAGGCATTGTTCATAAATGTAATAACTCAGAGAAAGTGCCTAAGAACATACTCTCAAAAAACCAAAGTTTTTATCGTGACCCCATGGTGAAAAAAATAATGTAAAAAAAAAAAAAAGGAAAAAACCTAGCTAAAGTGAAATAGTGAGGTTACTTAAAGCTATTATCCATGTTACTTCTCACAGAAGATTATGGTTGATGTCAAGAGAGCAAAATATTAGACAAGTACATATATTTTTGGGATTCTGAAAGTTGCTTCAAAACATAGCTGATAGTTTTTGAGGCAGAAGGGTAGACTGCTGCCCTATGTACTTGTAGGTAGCGTTGCTGGAATACATTTTGAGCTGGAATACATTTCATTCTCAACAAAAATTAAGTATAATACAAATGTTAGTAATAATAATGGAGGTCTAATTAAACCACAAAATTTATTTAATTTATAGACTGGTTTGTCTGCTCTATACACAATCTATTTTCACCCACTACTTTCACTACTTTCCTCACTATGAATTCCAGCAAACACATTACCTCAATTTTTACAGAATAAATGCTATTAGACAGGGAGCAAATGTATGTAATTTAGTGAGATGAGTTAAATAAAGACAGAGAAAAAATCTAAATTAGGTATGCAGAAATGCCTTGTGATAATGTAAGAATAGGTGATTTTTTAATCATTTTAATATGGAAGCTTTTAGAATTATAAAATTTGCTACTTCAAAAAGACTCTGCTGTAACATACATGATTTTGCCAAGCAATTTCAAAACATTATGTTTATAAACAGAAAGGTATAGTTCCACTGATACAACACCACCACTGAAATATTTAAAAAAGCAGACTGCCACGCAGTTCCTATTGCATGTGATTGATGTAGTTCTTTAAAACACAGTC